CACTGTGAGAGGTATGGATTGTATTGTTAATCCCAAAGACAAGCCTGTATAAGTTGTCACACACTGTATGGCTAAGATTGAACTAAAAAGGGAAAAAGTTACTTACCCAAGGATCTAAACCTGGGGTTTAACCATCCATCTCCTTAGATCTGAAACCAGAATCTAAAGCATAGACTCTTAACCTCGAACCTGACTGCAGGAGTTGGGGTCTAGAGACGGGGGCCCCTCCTCAGCCACTGCAGGGGACTGTCCTCCCCAGAGAGCCCCAGATCCTGTGTCCTCAAGTCCAGATAGGAAGGCTGGGGGAGGTTCTACAGCCCCTCCCCCAGATGTGTGGAGACAGGGATGAGCTCAGGTGAGAAAACCGAAGAATCTCCCCCAAAGCAGCAGCTATAAACAGGACAGCCATCTCACTTCCTACCGCCCTGCCCCTCAGCCAGCTGCCTCCACAAATACATAAACACATGAATCATGCAGATGAGCTGGCAAGATCATGAAAAAAGGCAGATACCAAGACCAAGGGAGAAAACGGAGGCCCCGATTCCAGACTCCACCAAGGTAGAGGGAGGAAATGGGGATACAGCAATGTGGCAGCCAGAGACATGGCTCCCCAGGTTCCCATGGCTTTGGGGGAAGAGAGCAGACTAGCCGGGGAGGTGGGAGGATGTGAGGACTTAGGACCGCTTGCTTCCACGAGAGAGGAGAGAGGCCAGGAATAAGGGGCAACTGAGCCAGGACCAGCACTTCTGCACATGGGTAGAATACCAAGTCCTCATATGTGAGGAGACAGAAGAGGAACTAAGTCTCCACATGGCTTGGGGGCCAAGACTGAAATGGGGTGGGGGTACATCATACATTCCTCCTTATCTGTTCTCATCTCCCACCTGCCTGGAAGGCACCCTGTATGTATGAAATTGCTAGGACGGAATCCTGAACATTCTCTGGCGTGGCATCTCCCCATCCCTCAGGGCAGCTGTGTAGAGAGGGCAATGAAAAGCCACCGGAGAAGCACAGAGCCAGCTGTCATGGTAGGCAGCCAAGAGCACCACATTCTACACAGCCCTGGGCCCAGTTATCCAGGGCCAACACCCCATGGCTCACGTGGTTCTCATTAGGCTCATTAGCAGCAAAATAGCAACAAGCAGACAGTATGGGGACCCACTAAACACCACACAGCCCCTCAGTGGGCAGCCCGCTTCAAGTAGGGAAGGCCAGTCCTCCAGGGAGCTGCCAGCCCACAGCCCAGTCCGAGGGCAAGGAGACAGGTTTGGGGTTGGTGCCGCAGAACTGTTATGCTGGACAGGGAAATAGTGGGGTATGGGTACCTACACATCCTCCAGCAGCAGCCCCTTCTGAGACATGAGGGTGCACCCACGCTGGGTCTGAGACGCTCTGCACTTACCCAACCTCAAGTTTCCAGTGTTAAAACTACAGTTTGGCAAAGAAGAATACTGGAAAAATCACAAGTGAGTTAGGAAACAGGCTGCAGGCCTGCAGGGCCGAGTGTGGCCAGGCCCAGACCCCTCAGGCATCTGGGTAGAGGCCCACCCCCTGTGAGGCTGCCTGTTCCAGTCAACCCGAGCAACACTCTACCCAGCCAAAGGCTCCCTGCAAAGGCTGAGCTCTCTGGAACATACCAATCTCCTTCCCCAGCCTTGAACTTCAGACATCTCCAGAGTCCCCAGGGACTCTCAAAGTGTGGTCCCTGGTCCTGCAGCATCAACAGCCCCAGCCTGGACAGCACTCTATCCTCGGGGGGCGTATCTCCTAACCAAAGCCTTAGTTTCCTTGTAGGGGGAGGAGCTTAACTGTGATGTCTGTGAAGAGTCTGGCAAGGTGTTGGGCTAGCCTAACATCCAATGCTTAGCTAGGAGCAGCCCCAGGAATTACACTATCCTCCCCAGAGTTCCAATGCAGAGTGAGGCCCAGAAGAAAGGATCAGGTACCTGGTAGCAGGGCGTGAGTACCATCCTGGAGTCGGGCTATCTGATTCCATTCTACTTTCCACCGTTACCTGACTTATATTCTCATCCACCATGTAAGTATTGGCTCTTGACTCTGCCTCTGACATTAATGGAGGCATGGGGCATGGCTCTCAGCCTAGAGGTCATGACTCTTCCTGTCTCCATCTTTGGTCTCCACGTAGCTAAGAGGATTTCTTTCTTCCCCAACATTTAAGACAGTTAGGCAGCCTTCAGAGTAGTCTGAGAGAAGGCTTTTCCCGACACCAACTCAGAGCCTTATTTGATCATCCTGGTACCATGTCTGCCTGATAGGCCAGGGGCCAGTGCAGAGGTGGATTCCCACAGCCCACCGTAAGACTGGTGTCCCCAGAGGTATATTCTGCAGGCCACAAACATGGTACCAACAGAGTGGGCGGGGAGAAGGAAATGTAAGTTTAAAACATGAGCAGGAATCTGCCCTGAGAAACGTCTCCATTTGGAGGCATCTCTAAGTCTCCCTTCTCCGAAGACCAGCTGCATCCCCAGGAGGAGACCAAGGAAGACCCGTCTGCTCCTGATCCCGGCATCCTCATCCAGGTCTCCCTTAAGAGCAAGAGGGGCGGACGGGGCAGGAGGCACTCACGTTTGATGCAGTGGGTGGTGCTGTTTGAGGTCGTCCATCCTGGGCAGCACCGTCCCCCGCAGACATTTCTCCTGTGGAGTCGCCAGAGCAAAGTTAGTACGAGAATGCTCAGAGCTGGGACTATTCATACAGCCCCCTTTAGGCAGGGATGGGGGGATACTTAGAGGCCGGGGAGACCGTCCCCATCCCACGGGGAGGCCACCTGGTCCAGGAATGAGGACTGTGGTGTGATGAAGACCAAAGCTGAATCTTGTCCCTGCTGTTCCCTGTACACCTCTGGGAGACCTCGGTCTCTCCATCTGCACAATGGAGATAATGCGTGCCTCACCGAGTGACTGTGATGAGTGAGGCAAGGTGTCTAGCACCCAGGACACAGAAGCCAGTACAGAGCAGAGCACGGTGGCATACTGAGGGGAGTTAGGCCAGCCTAGAACTGGGCAAGACCTCATCTCAAACAGTTTACACACACACACACACACACACACACCACACACATACCACACACACACACACACACACACACACCACACCACACACACACA